CCAGTATCATCCCAATAGGAGTGATCTGGGTTACGAGTCAAAATTCTACAGCTTTTGTCACCAAAACAGCCACCAATCCAATCTCCAATTATATAAGGAATGTCGCAAAGGATATTCCTTTCTGCCTCACAGTTTAATTGGGTATAGCCAAACACATGAAATTATTTTAGAACAATAATAGAGTAAGATCAAAATCATTACTTCTAATATGAGATGATAATCTGAAAGAGTGAACAGGACTTGAAATATGAAACCTGAGTGGGGGATTACTCACACCGATCAGCTAGATGACTAAGATTTTCCACTGACTGGAAGCCCCATGTGAGCAATATGTAGTCTGTCTATCAGAATCCTAGAGCAATCTGAGATGTATTAGAAAATTCATGTGTACTTAGGCAGCACCTCTGCATATAAATAGCAGTACAGCAAGAACTTGCAGAGAGGATTCAAGAATTGAAAAGGAAGAGGTAGGGAAAAATCAAACTCTTCTGATTCTGAAATTCTGTAATTGAACCAATGTGACTCTACAGTCCAGAATAAAGGGGAGAAGATAATCCTACTTGTGTCCTGCATGGATAAAAACACATCTGGACACTGTTCACATGTGAACTGCATATTGTATGAGGGTCCCTGACAAACTAACAAAACCCAAAGAAGGAGTGAACCACATCACATGAAAAACATCTGAAGGGCTTAATGTTTACTTGAAAAATGGAGCTTAAGAAGCAAAAGAATTATCCACAAATACTTCAGTCCTTAAAAGTCTAAAAGTTGCCTGAAATTACTGAGTACTCAAGGTCCAGTCCAAGGCACAACCAATCCTTCATACATTCAGCAAACATTTATTCTGCATCTTCATAGAGGGAGACACTGTGTTAGGTAACTAGGACACACAGACAGGAATGAGGAGCCGAGATAAGCACACAAATAATCAACTAACCATAATACAAGGAAGAGTGTGAGAGATGTCATGTGAAAAGAAGAAAACCTACTTAGGAAATCAGAAAGGGGGCTCATTGTGTCCCACTGACAGGATGAAAGAAAGTACCTGAAGAAGGAAGCACTGAATTTCAGGACTTGCAAGGTCTATACTATTTCTGTGAGGAGAAATATATTAAAGGGTCATTCCAAACGGAGGGAAAGCAGAAGAAAATGTTTGGAGGTGGGAACACATATAGTAGAAAATATAGTGGAACAAAGCTGAAGGACTCAGCCCAAGTTGCCCAACCATAGATACAGAGATAGCAAGTATTAGGAGAAAAGACTAAAAGGTGTCAAACAATAAAGAGCTTGTACTCCAGGCTACAGGGAATGACTATGTAAGAGTAGCATGAACGTTTTTGTAATATACAAGTGCCATGTTGTTGTTTATATACCAGTAATTCCTGGTATAGGTTAGAGGCAAACACAGGAGAGGCAAGAGGCTTGCACAATGGTTACTCAGAAGGAAATGAAGTTCTGAAGCAGGTCAGAGGCAGATAGCAGTGGGAATGGACATGAAGAGACTCATTGGGTATTTCAGAAACTGAATCAACAGGACCCTAACTGAATCTTTCAAATCTCAGGGATCATGGAAAGAGCAGAAATCCCAACTGGAGGAGGAATTGGCTGAGAGACAGAGGTGGACAATGAATATGGACGCACATGTTTAAAAATATATAACTGAGATATAACATTTTAGTACCGTATTTGCCGGCGTATAAGACGATTTTTTGGCCCTGAAAAATATGCCTCCAATTGGGGGGTCGTCTTATACGCCAGGTACACTTCAGATAGACTGCCCATAGTGCTTGCCCCGTGCCATAGTGGCCTCCCGATGCCCGCCCACTTCATTCCACATACCGTTCAGGCATCAGCAGCGCTGCTGGGTGTATGCTCGGCTGTTATGCGATTTTGCTGTTATGCGATTTTACCACACTCGCAAAATCGCACACAGCCGACCATACACCCAGTATGATAGCGCAAAATCACGAATCGCGATACCATACTGGGTGTATGGTTGGCTGTGTGCGATTTTGCGAGTGTGGTAAATTCGGGTTACCGTATATTTCTTTACATATGCATTGAAGATTCGCGATTTTGCGCTATCATGGTGCCTGTTAGAATGTTGAAGAGCTCGCACTTGCGCACTAGTGAGGTCCCAGGGAGATGCTGATGCAAGGGTGGACCAGACTGCTATAGTGACAGGGCGGGCAAACAGGGAGCAGGGACCAATCAAATCAGGCTTTGTATACAGCCAACAGCCAACCACAATACTGCCCCATTGTACAGTACAGCATAGAAAATGTCGACCAGTCAAACCCCTATCATCCCTATCATGGCACCAAGATGTCGTTGATGAACTTTTAATATCAGATGATGAAGAGGAGTTTGAAGGCTTTTAAGGTGAAACTGTCACGCCAGCAAACTTGCTAGGGACTTGCCCAGGAGAG